AACTCTTCCCCCGAAGGCGCCCCATATCAGTAACTTCCGACACTCATAACTCAGTGATCCCTTATCCGTTCCAAGAGTTTGTGGGCTCGTTGAAATGAGCGTGTTGAGCTCTTTCCAACAAGACCCTAATCAAGTCAAGGCGTTACAAATTGAAAAAATTATGAGGAATTCACTCTATCGCCGAAGGCGTCTACACCCGAAGTCGTATCGCCAAAGGCGAGTGACTGGCGACGAATTCGCTTTCCCTTAACGAAGGCGCAGATGTCCTAGTCCTCGTACGTCCTCAGCGAAAGCTGTTCTGCAAGGGCCTGAGCCAAAGACGCTCTCTCTTGCTTGCGCCGAAGGTGCTTTGCCGAAGATCCCTTAACAAGAAAGCTTTTGCCGAAGGCGTCAGAGGCGCTCCCCCTCAGTAGGAACCGTCTGTTCGGGCCAAGGCGCATGTTCCTTACATTGCGCCCAACTCGATGATTCTCAATGATTCTCCGTGACCCGGGATCATCCATTTTTACTCTATTTTAGTGTACCGATTACTATTTACAGTTGCTGCTGCGGTACTGTTTTCAAAAAATGTTTAAATTCCGCGCAAAAACAAAAAGTGAGTTACCATAGAGAGAATCGCCGAGGATTTCTGCGGCGCCAGAGATCCTGGAGACCGAAGACGACACGCCTTCGGAGGAGGAGGAAGTGGAGTCGGTGGGAGGTACACCGACCGGTGTGCTCTGCGAGCAAGTGGTACCACTACTCCGGTACCTTGATCGCAAGGCGACCAAGTACGGGAATCCCCGCCATCGTGGATCCTATGTTGAGCTGGTCAGGAATCGGACTCGAATCAAAGTAGCGACGAATTTTGAGTTGATGGTCTTGGACCAGAAGTATCGGCAGCTGGAGGAGCGTTACAATTTTCTGCAGGAACAGTGTACCATATCGCGGAAGTTGCAGAATGCGGCGATTCAGCTGCGAGATGAGGTAGCGGCCAATGCACAGCGCGAAATTGAAGAGCTACGTGCGAAGGTCGAGACGGGTATCAATTCCGAGCAAGCTCAGAACCGCATTCTGGCAGAGAAGCTCGTGCGGTAAACGTAGGCGTTAGAGAAGAGTGAGGCCGTGCGGAAGGCGGACGAAGAATTACTGGGTCGACTGCAATCGCAGTGCGACGAATTGAGGACGCAGCGTGTAGAGGCGGAGTTACAGTTGGCAGAGGTTGAATACCACAACGAGCACGCGACAGATCGCACGCGGGAGGAGTTAGTTTCGCGGGTTGACTGGTGTCTTATAGGTTATGCTCGTTGGGAGATCGCGACGCGGGAGAGAATGACGTTGCGCGAAATGGAGATATGTGCGACAACTTTGATGTCTGGCGACAGTCGGAGTCGGCGGCGCGTGGCAAAGCGTCAAATTGGGGTAGTTCCAATTTTGGAAGTTCAGTTCAGGAATTCGTTTTCTCTACGCGTTTGTGTCTTTCGTTCTGTCACTGCGCAAGAGGAGCTATAGCTTGTCAAAGTTACTGCATTTTGTAGCTGAAGGCCTTCGTTCGAATGTTCTGAGCTAGCGTAGTCTAGTCAGGATCTTCAAGTTTGATCTTACACGTTCAGACGATTTTTTCCTGTTTGTATTCCTTCGGAATTTTCCCCCTGATTACCAAAGTAAAGTTTTGTTAACTTCGGAGTGAGAGTTGGTTGAATTCAGGTTGTGTGTGATACGCTGCTTCAGGCGCCTTCGGGGGTAGCCTTTGCAGTATTTCTGGGAATGACAAGTGTCTGAGATGTCAAACTCGTCAATAGACTGGTAAGTTGTAACACTGGGACTTTTCTCAACTTAGTTTCTCAGTTCGGATTTCTGTATTCTCTGCGCGTTTTGTGAGTTGAGTGTGTTGTTCACTGCGTGAGAGTGACTTCGGTTTGACGAAGGTACCGGATCCGAAGTAGGAAGTCCACCCCGAATGCTCTGCACTAGCAGTGGCTAGTGACAAGGTTTAAGCAAGTTCGGAGTTGTGTTACTACCTGCAGATCCTCTTAGTGTACTCTTGGGAAACTTCCCCCCCTGAATCTTAAGTGGAGGTCCTGACCTTCCTTTGAGTTGTGCATTTACAGTTTTAGGTGTGTGTTGGGGTGTCCTACGCTGCATTGTGTATCCTCTGAGTGACCTCCGAGTTGAGCACTTGCATTATTTCTGGGAGTGACAGTAGCGTGAGAATTCAAACTTTTCAATAGTCTGTTAAAACGTGACACTTTGTACTCTGTGTGTTGCCTCTGTCTCTGTGGGTTTGATCCTTTGCTGTTATACTGCAATTTAGCCCTGGGTGGGCTATCAAGCTGATGCATTAACTAAAGTTATTTGTTTGAAAATTTTTAAGAGAAATTGTGCTCCGTTGCAAGTTTTGCATAGTTAACACACACAAAGTGTATTAGTAATAATACCTAAATATTGAACTATAAACACATCATCACAAAAACTGGACAGGTGCATTGGACATACATGATCTGTCACTATGTCCTATGCTCATGAAAATTCAAAAGCTCTTGTTGTAAAAACCTAAAATGTCAATGAGAATCGTAGCTTATATAATGACAATATAATTCAAGTTGAATCATTTTAGTTAAGCTTAATTGAATTTTAAATGACATAAAATAAATTTTAAGAATTTGAAATGTTGTAATCTCCATGTATCATTTTGTATGATGCTTTGATTATAATTTAGCTCTAATTTACAGATTAAAATATTTTAAGTTATTTTTGAGACATTTTTCTAAATAAACTTCTCTATTTTGAAGATTACAAATCTCAAAACATTAATCAAGGAGGAGATGATTAGTAGCTAAGTAAGATATTATCATTTAAATATAATGAAAAGTTTAGTTGATTGGATAGGATAAGTTTGAAATTATATATAAGAGATAGTTATAGCTTTCATCAACACTAATTTAAGAATTTGAATAAAGTGTATAAGATATAAGAAAATTTGGACGAAGCCTATGTATATATAAACAGAAAACAATTACATCAAGTCAACTACATGCATCATTGAAATTTGAAATTTGAATTTGAAGTGTTTTAAACAAAAAAGAAATCTATAATACTTATGACTATATCACTTGATTTGCATATTTAAAATGACATATTTAAAAATATCAAGCCAAATATTGCGCAAAGTGCATAAGTGAAGTATATTGATCATTGAGTAATGAAAGTGATTATGTCTTAATCATGAATTGTTTAAATTCTTTTGGCATAAGTGTAATTTTTCACATTCATCTATACAAGTTATTGTGCACTAATTGCATTATATGTATTGTTTTATTGGCTGCCAAATTATTCATTGAGAAGCTAATTTGAATAATTTTTTCTTTTGATTTGACTTTTCTATTTTATTGATGTTTACAGATTTATACAAGCTTGAAGTAAGAGTAGGTTGGCTAGATTTCAAAAACTTTGAAAAAATAATCAAAATAAATGTTAAAATTAGTTTCAAATGGGGCCACAATAAATAAATAAAAAATTCTTCAATTCTATGTTACTCATAATTTTGCTCATTTGTAATAATTTTTCATGCACAATTATGTTCAAAATAATAAACAATTGTTAGAATGTAATAAGCTAAGGGTTTTAATCTTTTATCTACATGCATGTAAATTGATAATTTATTAAAGATATCACAAAATTCAAAAAATATTATGTCTTTCATATTTTTTTTTTCATTATCTATGCAATGTGATGACGGCATATTAATTAAGATATGTGAAAATCTAAGGTTTTCTTCATATGATAATCATTTAAGTGATTTCAACAAGTTATCTTCCTACATCAAATATCAAGATCGCGACATCAACTATGAGAGAAGATTTTGTTTCAATTAATCATTTGGAAGATGAGAGTTGACTTTTCATGATGAAAATCTTTTTTTAGAACACATTTTGCAGTTATGAACATTTTATTGCAAACTAATTATACGAGATCACAAACGTAGATTGCTTGTGGCCATATCTACTATACTTATAGATACACTTATAACTATACTACTTAACGCAATACATACTCCGCATACTACACTTGGGTATAGTTAAACATAGATTGTTTGGATACATAAATTTCAAAATATCAGTTTAGAAACAAGCTTTGTGTTATGTCATTGGTTAAAGGAATGCACGCTTGCTGTGATATTCCCGTACCTTTTACTAGATTACTCTTATCTAAATGGAACAAGTAAGGTACATTCCCCGGAGATATACAGGAAAGGTGGATGCCACGATTTACCGTGCTCGTGAGCTACTGAGACCTACTTTAGCATAAAAATTCACCTGAATATCTAAGAGGAGGTCCAGGTCAAAATGCCACGGTCAACCCAGTACAGGCCGAGCCCCAGTCCTCCAAAAGTGTGTCTGACAGGACACTAATCTAAGGCCTCAGGGTATGTCCCCTCTATGCCTACATATCGAGGGCCTCAACAATATTGTCCAGTTTAGTCCCAGCTCATCAATATATGAATTTGTCCATCTAAAGATCCGATTTAAGTCTTGGCTTGGTTGGAGGTCTTGACTCTGAATCACATCAAGCCATCTGGGAGCACGATGACAATTTACAATTTACATGAAGGTGAATGAGAATTAAGCATGTTATTGCTATGAATTTATAAACCAAAATCTCAACTTGCAACAACAGATACGATGGGAGCTTAAGAGGTCCTGAACTGCTCACAAACACTTGATAATGCGGTTGATGTCATAGCAATTTTCTCAAGAGCGAGAGCGAGTTAATGGAGCCAGCCCGAATAGGAACTGGTGTATTGCTACTAGAGAACTAGTTTCAAAGGGTACTGAAATAGTATGTGCGCGTGAGACTCGCGTGAGCTCCTGGCAGCTGACTACATCCGGCATAAGAACTGCTGATGATTAGATTAATATTATAATAATACTCTAGCCTTGATTTGACGGCAGAACGCGTTTGACGGGCTCGTCCAGAACCTCTCGGTCTTTTCAACTCTGTAGTAGCTGCTGCTCGTCACGGGAGCTCAACGACGACCAGTATGTATATATGTGAACTCCAATCCCATAACCTCCAAGTTTTCAGCACCTGACTAGCATCAGCATGCCAACGAGCCAGGTCTATTGGAGAATCATTTCTCACTTTCAGGCTTCCAGCGATCTGTTTCCGTACACGAAGTTTCGAAACGTGCGCTCGTCTGCCCAGTGAACATCTAACCCGGTTGTAGCAGATTCATCACGCATTCATTCATCATCCTGCAGTTCTGCCTTGCAGATCGCGAAGTCTTCTGCAAGCGTCGTACAGTCTACAACACGTATTGTCTCGACCTGTCTATCTGAGACTTACCCTTTGCATTTGCCAGTTCCTTCAGAGATTCAGCAAGCCAGACGCTTTCATGGGATCCATCTTGTGCTATGGTCGTGAGGTTTCAGACTGCAGATGAGAAGGAGAATTTTCTATAGCATGGACTTTTGCACGAAAAAAGCACTCTGTGAATGTACATCGCCCGCTCGATTGACAGTTCTTCAAGCCAGCAGTTCGTTCTTCTCGAACTCGTGGAACAGTTCACCTAACTCAGCAGAATCGATCAGATGGCTCACAGTGTGAGCTCTGAAGTTCCTCATTTCCTGCAACCTTCGAAAACTGCAACCGTGGCGTCTCAATTCGTCAGCTTATCGGCCGGTCAACGTAAGGCCGACGCTCCGACGACAACGAAACAGTATCTGGAAAACAAGGTACGAAATAAGCCCGACATAGCTTGACCAGCAGCTCGCTTGCTCGATATTTCCTCCTGAAACTCCCGAAAGAGGAAATCTAAGAGAATAGCTTTCCCAACTTCTTTTTAATCTTAGTTCTCTGCTCCTGGCATAATTTAAAGGATATTCGGTGTGTCCAAGGATTTTCAGAATCTGTACCCGGGGTGGAAGATTGGTTCAGTTGGATTCAGACGTTGCCGGTGTTACTTCTCCAACCCACACATGACTAAGCAGCGCCTCGGTTTTGCAGAATCCACCGGCCATGAAAGAACACGACAAAACGAACATGAAAATTGAATCGTCTCCCGCCTCTCCCGAGCGTTCTTCTCCTGATGACAACGTTATAAAGATTCAGGTATGTACATTCAGATTGGAATTGTCAAAAGGCACGATGGCAAAATCTGCTGCTGACTGAGTTGTATCTCTTGATGCGAGGCCCTTTGCTCGCGTAAATTTAGAATTATTTCCTTGAAGTGTATCGGGTATAATGGCTTGTTAGGGAACTTGGGAGCCCATGCTTGTGTAAACTAGGCCTAGTGAATTCGAAGTCAGCTGGTTATTTACTAACATTTGGCACTTGATCAAACAGCTCAAAAGGACGAGAAACGAAATGGAGAGGATGGTGCAGGAAAATCAACAGATGAAAAAAATGCTCACGTTCATGACAGTGGAGTATAATTTTCTGCACAAACATCTGATCACGACTGTTTCTCAGCAGCAGGAACAAGCGATTGGGAAATCATCACAACTTCTTCAGGTTTGGACTTCTCACATATCAGACTGGATGTTAAGGAATTAAACTGAGCCCTTTCTGGATTTTAGAAGGAACAAACCCTGCAGCTCAATTGACTCTTGTAATCTCACAGTTAAATATGGATTCTAATGCAGAATTACAAACCCATCACGGAATTTGTACGAGCCACAGTGCTAACAGAACGAGCAAGTCCTCCCTCGACGTCAACAACTTCCGGGAGCACAGATAGATCTCGAAGCCCGAGCCCCCAGCCCACTGCAAGCGCCCCAATACGTTCCACTTCGTCCGACAGGGCGACTGAAACTAATCTTGAGAAGCAATCCTCGAGCTTGCAGAAAGTAGATGCGAAGATCATTCAAGCCGAGCACGCAGTTATTCCCGGGGATTCAGACAAAGACGGCTTCATTCAGTACCGTGCACAGAAAGACAGCTCACAATCTGATATCAGTCTTGTGGAACCGACACTGCGACTTGCTTCCCCGGGTCAAGACTCGAGCGCCGAGGCCCGAGAGTCTCATTCCAACAAAGAAGCTGCTGCCATATCCGAGCCCTCTCTTTCTGAACAGAATGGATGGCCCCCTACCAAGAGAATGAAATCCGTTCTCCAAGATACATCTGTCCGGAGTGCTCGAGTATCAGTTAGAACTCGTACAGACGCACCTACGGTGCGTGAGTCCTTTCCCACATCGGAGTCTGCAGTCGCAGACACTGACAATCCAGATTTGTTGCTTAGTCTGCCGCACTGTTTTCGAGCATTGCGTTGCATTGTTAAAAGTGAGTCTGATTGTGGGTTTGTGTTGGACCATGCAATTTTTTGATGGTGGGTTCTGTTGCATATATGGTCATGTGCAGATGAATGATGGGTGCCAATGGCGCAAGTACGGTCAGAAGCTGGCGAAGGGGAATCCATGCCCTCGGGCTTACTACAGGTGCACGGTGGCGCCCGGCTGTCCGGTGAGAAAGCAGGTGCAAAGGTGTGCTGAAGATCGGTCTGTGTTGACAACGACCTATGAAGGCACGCACAGTCACCCGCTTCCAGCAGCTGCAATGGCTATGGCTTCCACAACCTCAGCTGCATCAGGGATGCTGGTGATGGGCTGTACAAGCAGCGACAGAATTGCAGAGGGACTGGGCCTTCGGTGCGACAGCGCGATGAACATGGGCATATCCAACATTTCGGCCTCCATACCCTTCCCAAGCATAACGCTGGACCTCACTGGACCCGAGAGCTGCAGCTTGGCCGCGGCAGCTGCCAAGCGAATCCAGCAGCTTGATGCTACAGGAGCGAGAGCCAACGACTGGCCTTACAAGTTCTTATTCTCACCCTTTGGAATACCGATGCATGCGCCGCCGATCAGCATGATGCCCGGTGCTCAATCTGCTTTCTGCGGAACAGACAAGCGTGACTTTCATATGGCCTCTGGTTTGAATCCACTCATGGTTCGCTCACAGCAAGCCCATGGCTTGGAGATGGGACCAAAAATGCTGGCTGACAGTAGCTGGCTGACACCGGCCACGGCAGCCATTACATCAGATCCCAATTTCACAGCAGCCCTGGCTTCTGCCATTGCTTCCATTATTGGATCTCAAACTAACGGGCATCTGGTTACATAATGAAAGAGTATAAAAAGGGAGTACTGCTCAGCCCGAGCTCTGTATGCTCTTACTTACCTCAGGAATTGAGGAGGTTCAGAATGTATCATGTTTGCTGCTGTTGCGATTCGCTAACATTGTCAAATAGTTGGAAACGACTTCAGTTGTTAAGACGGGCCGGGAAGACCGACATGAGAATCTTCTGGTTTTTCTACAGATGTGGCTATGCACCGCTCTCTAGCTGTTGAACGTAGAATCGGTTCGATGGTATTTAATCAGGAAGAATTTCTGTGGATAAGAAGCTAGTGCAGATATATGTTCATCTCTATATAGTTTCACTGGAACTTTATGTTGAGTTCTTAGTCTAGCACATCTTGAGGATGTTCCAGCTGATCATGTGACCACTGGTCGTTCCAAATGTACCCTTGAAAAATCATTTCATAATACGAGAACATACTCTGCCAGACAACTCTCCTTGCAAAAGATTCAAATTGATGATGATAATTACTTGGTGCCTATTAGATGCAGAAGCTTCGAAGAGCATGTTACATCTATTTCACGTGAATTCGGATGAACTCAAAGTATGTTTTACATTCTACATATTTTGGGAGTTAACTTCAATATATCAGAAACTGTAGAGTACCTAATTACAGTAGACATATGTGCCACCTTGCAAAGGAATCTCTAATACTCCTGCATTAGAGAATGGAAACATATACTCCGATGGAGAAGAGACAAGGGAACAAGGAACTGAACTGAGCTAGTGGAACTAGCAGAAAAATTTGCCTAGCCTTACGTCAAAAGGTTGGACTGTACTGCTAGATAGTCTAACAGTAGATTCTCGGACCAAAGCTGGAGCAATGAGAACGTCTATCTAGCTACGTAGGCTTATGGCCCAGCGATTGTGCGTTCACGCTCGCATACACATTTTGTAATTGACGGACTTGGACACATTTTGTGATTGACCGTCTTGGACTTGGATGTGTACCCCGAGTCCTGCGGCCACTTTTGTAAACACGAAGTGGATAGCAATAATTGACGTTGACCAAATATTTAATGCCGCGAGGATCTTGCAGTAACTCCCCTGTGACCACAGCATGACCGAGCTGACCCACAGCGCTCTAGATTAGTGTCCAGCCTTCTTTGTCCAAAATCGTATCTCATGAAAGTTAAACCGTTAGAATCAGACTAAGACTCTCAAGGAAATATATTTTTTTCAATCACAAATCAAACCAATGTACCATACGTGGAATTTCTTCGGATTAAGAGATTAGGACTGTCATGATAAACGAACTGAAATTACTTTCTGTTATTTTATCCTTATTTTTTCAATTGTATTCGAGCGTTAAGTACCACTCCACATGATTTTCAAGTAGTTCAGATGAATTTTGATTGCTTGTGTTTGTATAGCTGGGTTCTCATCTAGACTAAAAATCAATATCTGAATCTGAAATATATTGACCGTAGTGATAACAATCACCAAGCTTTTTACGTAAGTTTTACCGTGTGGAGTAGTTTGATGGTTCGTGGTTCTGCTAAATCGATATATGTCTTCATATATTGTTTTTGTTCGACTTGTCCTTTTGTCTTTTGCGATCCATCTCCTAAACAGTTCCATCATTGTAACCTGAGTTTTACCATGTGCACGAGGTGAGACTAGATCATCATGTTCAATGCATGTCATGGCGCTAAGTCTATAGGTACTTGATAAACAGTTTACAACATTTTGCACAATGAACACAAAGAATATATTGCTATCTGCGAGGAATTGAGATAATTTTGCCTGAGCTGGTCAACTACATGCAGGTATTTCCATCAATGGTGAAGTCCATCGATGCATCCAGTCCTTCATGCAGATCATAAATCCGACTTTAAAGTCTTCATCAAATCAAATCATATGATCACACTGTTTCAATTAGACATGTGAAGTCAGCTTCTGTTATGAGCGGTGGTATTGTGAGATTCTAATCTCTGGAAGTAGCCTCCACTCAATTGGGGCAAACTCGGTAGCTTTACCCCTAGCTTTCTTACCTTGGTAGATAGTCAAATTACCAATGTGACTATTTACCAAGGTGAGAAAGCTGCGGTATTAGGGTGGGACTTTCAAAGCCTACAATTTGGCCAACAGTGGTTATCTCGCGAGATAATTATTGCACTGGTCAAAGTCATATTACCGGTTGGGTAAGTGGTGCTACGAGTCTGAGTGCGAGGCTGATCAAATATTGCCACTTGTTCCTAAAAGCTGTATTCCTAGTGCGAGGTTATGTGATCATGGCGATTTCAAGGCCAACAGCCTAACTGAAACAACAGAAAAAATCTGCTGGGCTGATTTCAACCGAGGGCATACATATATTAAAAACAAAAACATCGGGTCTCGATATCAGCCGAACTTGTCACTGGCTGTAGAAGTGTGACTTCAGGTCTATGGCTCCTTGTTTCACTGGGAAGTCTTTATGAAGACCTACTATCGCTGTATTCTAGAATTTGCTTTCACAAGTCCTGCTCTTGCAATCAAATCAAAAAGTGACACATATATCAGCTCTGCTGACTTGAATAAAAGACTATTTGAATGCCTTCAACCGAGGAAAGCATGAAGTTCAAACGAACGAATATAATATGGAAAGGGTCTCAAAACGAAAGTGCGGATTGTCAGGATGGTGGAAATGAAAAGATTATCTTGGACTGTAGATCCGCAGATTGTCTCTTGTAGTGTAAGTTCATACCCAGTATGTGGCTATACTACATTCTTATTCATATTCAAGAGAATACGAACCTTATTTGTAGCTAGTGAGACCCGATCATAAGTCCAGAATACAGCCCAGTCACAGCCATACCATCAAATTCATTGTCCTGGTTTAAACTGATCATATAAAATATCCTGGAATTCACCCTGTGATAACTGAAAAAACCATAATATCTTTTGTCTTGGTCTACAAATCCCGTGAGAATTGATAATAACATCTCGTTTTTAATAAAAACTTTCTCTAACTCCAAACAAGAATCAAAATCTTGAAGCTGAAGTCAAAAATTATTCTGACATCTTACTGAAAACATATCACTTCACCGCTTTGCTTCTGTCACCAGCAGATACAAGGGCATCACGACTTCTCATTCTTTCGTGCATCTTTGAGGAGATCCAGCTTTATTCTTAAGAGATGATCTCAAGTCTAGATTTCTAGCATGCCAATAGACTCCAATATACTTATATTATACTCGTCTTTGGACCTATTCTTCTCAAAGATTGCTAGTAATAACTACAATTCGTTCACTGCCCATTCTAAAGCAGAGTTTCCTGGAAGATATCTCTAACATTGATTCTGTAGAATACATATGACTAAAAATGTCTTATCCGTTGTAGTGCAGTGCCTGTCGTTGAAATCGACAGGTTCAAGCTTTGTATCTATCGACCTCGAGCTCAACAACAGAAAGTGCAGAGAATGTAAGTTTCTGCTGCTGAAGCTCGAGATAAATCTAAGAGGATGTAGGTAGACTTTTCAATAACCCTCCGGCTCAGGTTGCTCTATCCCAACCTACATCCAAATTGACTCGGATAGAATGTGCGCTCGTGTGCAGGAGGTCAATGCTTTCAGAAGAGAGTCTTCAAAGTTCGTGCTCTCGGGCTGCTAGCCAACCGCTCAGAAAAGATTGTTTATGGAGGCCCACCTGATTCTTTGAGTGGAACGACGACAGATCACCATCACTACAACAACAGTGCTTATGTATGAAATCAGAATAGCTGAATTCCTGTACACGCCAACGACGAAAGCGAATCATTGACAGTACAGTACTAGACAGAACAGTTCAGCAGTTGATCAGCGGCAGTTCTAGAGCATGCAGATTGCGATCTAGGACTCCATTCCTGATTACTCTGACCGCCGACTATTGAAGAGACAAAAGATGCTGGTCAACTGGCTAATCTCTCCCTATTCACCTTTATACCGTCGCCAGGGACTTGATATTCTTCCGATGGGTCGCGCAAAGCAAGACATGATCTTCCAGTGTATTTCGACTTACTTTCACATTCCAGTAACCCAATTCACCACCATCCTCGTCTGTAACTTAGCAAGCCTTGATCTCGCGATCTGCAGTGTTTCTGCTAGTCTACCAGTCATCTGCAGCTCCCGGAGACTTGCTTCCAGCAAACAGTTATCAGCATTTTACACTATCTTCGGGTCTCTGCTGGATTGAATCGGGTCGGACATGATGTGACCAGTTCGCTCTGCTGTAGATCTGTTGACTGGCAGGAAGGTTCAAGAATTTTCTACAGCAATGACGACATTCGGGAGGAACAATTGTGAAGTAACCGCGTCTAATAAACAACACGGCAGAAAGCACCCTCGTCCCGTTGGGAGTTGGAGAAGCTACGATGGAACTTATTACACGTATTAAACTAGTAGTTGCTGTATTGTATGCGTCAGGCGCTCAGTCTCGTTCTGTGATACCTTTGAGTGAAGGTCAAATCAGCAATACATTCATCATGATGATGTGCCGTCTTCTGACGCTATCCTCCGTCGTAGCAGCGCTTCTGAAGGTGGAATGTCAAATTATAGATAAACGAACGTGGCTTCACGTCTTCTCTGCAGGATTCATGGGACTGTCATTGTCGTTATTGACTCAAACAATTTCATTTCTTTTCGCACAGAGAGAAAAGAGGAGAAGAGGAGAAGTGAAGAAGTGGGTTCTGGCATTTTTGACCACGCAGACAGTGAAATGAATTCTCCCTCGCTTGAGCTGCGAGCCGCAAATACAAATGACATACAGCAAAGATTTAGTAGCGTGTAGCGGACTTCAGCTAGAAAGCGCCTAGATCAGACAGCAACCCGTGCGTGCTTCATTTGGACATCAACTGAGGGAGGGAGTATCCGACATTCATAACGCATTCCTGAGGTTGCCTGCACGCGTCAAAGGTTGGGTCGTCATCGTCTTCTTATTTCGACTAGGCCACACTCACCAACAGAGCTCGAAGTACCTCGGAATATCACAGTGTCCACCGTGCCCCACATTATTTGGAATTGTTTCTAAAATGAGAATTTTCCAGAAAGAAGGCTGCTGGCCGGTGTACGACAATAAGAAAGATAAGAGAGGAAGAAAGGAAAGACCAAGCATGGGACGGATTCGTCGACCAAGTCAAGAGACGAATAACTTTTAAGGCAATGAGAATGCAGGTATTGCTTCGCATCGAAATGTCGGGATTCGACATAGCTGAGAGCATCAACCCCATAAGAAGTCAAAGACTCAGCAAATTGCATGAACGAGTCAAGATCTTCGACGGTTTATCATCTAGTCTCTTCGATACGTAGGGGCGCAGTCAGTCCTGGCAAATCAAATGGCCATTTGCATCATGACCACTCTTGTAATAGGTGGCGAAGCCAAAATTGTGTAGACGTGGGCCACGATATTCTGAAATTTTGTAAATGACCGAGACAAGAAGTTATGAATTGTCTATCAGTTTGTCATGATCCT